GCCCGGTTTGAAGCCTGGTCAAACGTGTGTCCCCCCCCTCACTTCCAGACATTAGAAATTGTTACATTCACCGCAAAATGTTTATAAACGAACATTAAACGGAGCATATTCTTGGTTCTTTCGGTAAAGTCACGTAGAAGGGAAATAAAATAATAAAAATAAACATAATAAATACAATTCTCACAACGTTTCGGCCACAACGCAAGCAGCCGTCCTCAGGTGAAGAACAGGTCTGTCGGAAAGACAGGTGAAGAACAACCTGAGGACGGCTGCTTGCGTTGTGGCCGAAACGTCGTGAGAATTGTATTTTATTAGGTTTTATTTTTTATTATTTTATTTCCCTTCTACGTGACTTTACCGAAAGAACCAAGAAGATGAATCCCTGCAGTCACGAAAGCTTTAAATCGAAATAAAACAGAGCAATTTCGGCGCAAATAAAGTGAAGGCGGCGGTGGTGGTGGTTTACCTCCCACTAACGGATATATTTGTAGAGGTGACGTGAAGGCAATAAGCAAACTTAGCAAAGGCTCGGGGAGGCTTAAAGAGCCCCCCCCCCAGTTTCGTGATGTGGGTGCCTCGAATCTCGGCGCAACTTAATCCTAAATACATTAAAATCCGTAAAAGGTGCCAGGTTGATGCCAACGGTGAATGTCTCGTCTAGATCTTGCTCTTTCTCTTCTAACCACATCTCCTTGTCCAAGTTCCACGGACAGTGCCGGATTATGCTAGTAGCAAAAGTAGCTACATATGTAGCTACGGGCCCAGCGCTAGAAATGCTTTCAAGCTATCAATTTCGGTTCAGTGATTCTGCACTTGCTCTATTAATAGAGTACTATAATGAACGACTGCGTGTTTAAGGTGAGCGATTTTCGACCTGATCTTCACCTGAGGACGGCTGCTTGCGTTGTGGCCGAAACGTCGTGAGAATTATTAAATTGTTTTATTTGTATTATTTTATTATTTTCCTTCTACGTGACTTACGAAAGACCAAGATGGTGAGCGATTTTGTCGTATTATCCGGCTGTATAGCAAATGCAAAAATACAATTACTTTATTATGCAAGTTACACATTTGTGTATTAATGTTTTTTTTTTATTTAGGGCCCCTTTATAGCATATGCTACAGGCCCCCCCCCCCCCACTAGTTTAATCCGGCACTGCCCACAGTGTCTTCTCTCGTCGCACTATCTTGTCTTGCGTTTACATTCCTCTATCGCGCCACCAATCTCCGCGCCGACATCGCTTTTCGTCGCCGCAGCTCTGAATCTCCGTTTTTTTTGTTCGCCGCCGTTTTCAAAATGCTTTGGGTAGTCTTGCAATATTCCTCGAGTAGCATGCTGGTCATCGTTCTCTGCAATGTCGTCTTGCTCTATTTAAGACCGGAAGCAGGTGGATTGCTTCACTCTTCTGGCAAAATCGCCCGTGATGCTGGTCAATGTCGTCACCAGCGAATCTCTGCCATGGCAAGGTGACATGGCCGTTTGCGCCATTTCCGATGGAACGCCGCGCTGTGTTGCACTGCATGGTCCCACCACCCACGATGTTGGACAAACGATTGCAGGGTATTTTTTCGCATCTGCGTTTCTCCTCACCTCTATCCCCCCCCCCCCCCCCCAAGAAAGGGGTTGAATGTTTTAGCTTCATATACACGGCGTCATCCTGCGTGCAAATTGCATCTCCCAGTTGCCATGGAGCAACGAGGCGCGGCACTTATACAGTGGTACCAACGGGTGCCTAAGCTCTGCAGTCCTCTATATATATTAAAGACTTTTTTATTTTGTTTACGAGCATTTTGGGAAGGAAACCTGCCAGGAGCACCCCATGAAAACGCACACTTTTTTACGGGGGGGGGGGGGGGTGGTGGCAATGCTACAATTCCATTCTTTGCAGAACCACCTTTTTCATATCATGTCTATTGTGCTTTATAAGATAACTTTAAAAACTTTAAATACACGAGTAGCAGGCTCCGCACCGAGTCGGTAGCCGGTAGGTGCGTAGGCTTGGGTACAACTAGCTGGGCCTGTGGCCGCCTCCGTGGCACTTTGTCGGATTCGATGCTTTTTCAACGGTTTTGCTTAACTTGATTCTTCTGTTTGTCGTGGTCAAATCTTGTAATCAAAATTTCCCGTTGTCCAATCAATTCCACATTTTGCACACGTACTCCGATGCGGTGACCATGCATGCCTGTATCAAAATCGGCATCGATTAAATCGCTACTTTTTAAAGCAATTAACATTTTGTGTGGACGCCTTATTATTTCTATATATTTGTATAGGTCAAAAACGCCGCGGTCGCTAAACTGTGGAATCGGCTCGCACAAAACGCAGGCGCCACGTGTCTCAGGCGCCATTTGACGTACTTCTCGACCGCGAGTTAAACTAAGTTGTTAATAAAACCGTTGTTTAAAAAAAAAATATTTTCAAGGAGTTTATTATTCCCTTAAAATCGACCCAGGGAAGTTCAACTTCCATAGGCCTTGCCCTTGACTCTTTAGGCCCTCACCTCCTGCCTCTGTATATCCCCCACCCCTAGATTTGGCCCTGTTGTTGTATCTTCCCTATTTTGTCTCTGTGCCTTTCCTTTTTAGGGAACGCGCCATTTTATGTTTAGGCACCAATCCTGTGGCCAAGGGGGTATTGGGCTGGTTTGGGTTGTGGTAGGGGTTGTGCAATTGAGCGGCGGGGGGGGGGGGGTGGGGGAAGTGTGCGTGTGCAGCAAGCCCAATGACTAATCTTTTTAAGAGCAGCAATATGCTTGTAGACTGCATGTGCAGCAGAGTTATCCGTGTCGACCGGGAGGGGGGGGTGGGGGGGGGTAACCAATGGGAACTGTTTCCCAGTGGCATGCCCGCCTGCCCGCCCACCCGGTCCCCCAACTTTCAAAAATCCCAGAGCAGCAGCTACCACCGCCTCCAAAAGAGGACGAACCTGGGGAAACTCCCCCAGTTCAGGTGGCGTTAAGGTTATTTACAGCCTGAAGTGTGTGTGTGTGTAAAGCGTGTTGTGCATATATACAGGTTCATATAAGTGTGTGCATAATATACATGTCCATGTGCGTACAAGCCTTTACTAGGCCCAAACGGGCCTGGCCTAGTGCAGGCTGTTTTGCGTGCCTCCATCAGGGAAGGGGTGTAAATCCCTTTTTAAAAGGTTTAATGCAACCGTATCCTACTTCTTAAAGTAATTCCAGTAATAATCCCAAGACAGCCTCGCCGAGTCAAGACTCTTTTTCAGGAGGGTCCTGCATTGTGATGTCTGGCCAGTCCCATATTTTTTTTTACCAAGCGTTTGGCATTAATTGGGATTAAGCTGGACCAAACCCACCATGCATTCAAGGGGACAACCATAAACTCCGCACAGATGTAGTCACGAATCCATTGCTGTACTGCCACTTGCAATGGTCCCCCATCCCCACCTAAAAATAAGCCGACCTCGATCCCGGTTTTAACCCACCTCCAGAAATCACACCAATTCTGGAAGAATTAACAGTTGGGCAGGTCAAATTGATGAATACGCTTCCATCGCAGAGGATCGAGTGCTAGTGGTGGTTAACCTGGGCGTTGACGAGAGAATGGTAGGCGCCCTGCCGCGCCAAAAGCTCGGTATGCGTGCCAATCTCGACGACACGGCCCTGCTGGATGACGGCTATGATGTCGGCGTTCTGGATGGTGGAGAGGCGGTGGGCGATGACGATGCAGGTCCGGCCTTCGCGGGCCCGGTCCAGGGCCTGCTGTACGATCTGTTGGGCAACAACGTGCGACGGAGAAGAGAGAAGCATTAGAGTTAAACATATTTTGCTTTAATGGACTCAACTGAACTCTTTACCATTTTAGGACCACCGAGCTGTTCAGCTCTTTCTCCAGAAGCGACGTGGCCACAAATGAAAGGTCAACGAATTGGCTTAGGTGGAACAGCCAAATGCTCTAAAGGCACGCTTCTAAACTGTGGAGGAGGGGAAAAAACTGAATAAAAATCCACGCAACCATGGGGAGAACATGCAAACTCCAAACATACAGGCGTCGGGGTCTGCATCAAACCCACCAAATTCCTGTATATCAGGCGAGGTAGTTAACATCTCGCTACCATGGACAGGTGGGTCGGTGGTAGGGCAAGTTGGTTCGCAAGTGGAAGCGTTGTGAGATCGAGTCCTGGTTTTGGGGTTGACACGAACCATCTCTCTCCAGGTCGATTTAAAATTGGTACCACTTTGTGGGGGGACGTCAACTGTGGTTACCCCTTCGCCACCACCATAAGAATGTGGAACAAAACCCCGTAAACACTGAGAACAAACAACCTTCGCGCAGAAAAATGGCGCCCGAGGGTTGGGAATCGAACCCAGGGCACGTCTGGCATTGAGCCACGAGTGTTACCATTTGCGCGATTTTTTTTTTTTGTAAACGTGTGTGACGATTTCGGCGGGACCCTCACCTTCTCGCTCTCCGTGTCGAGCGCTGACGTGGCCTCGTCCAGCAGCAGGATCTTGGGGTTGCGCACGAGGGCGCGCGCGATGGCGATGCGCTGCTTCTGTCCGCCCGACAGCTGCGCCCCCTTGTCGCCGACGCGCGTGTTGTATTTCTGCAGGTTTAGGCAGAGTTGCAGAGTTAGAACAACTTCCATTTTGGAGGTGTAGTGAGTTCTCAGGGAGACAGATGGCGTAGTTGAGGCACACTCTTTTATTTAACCAAAAGGCGGTAACAACACTTGAAGGGGTAACGGCCCCTTCACCCGTGCTCAATGGGAAACACCCCTAGCACTATTCCCTGACTCTCCTATTCCCAGTGCTAGGGGAGGCTATCTGATCCGGCCCTGGTCAAGCACGGATCCCGGCACCCAGCTAACCAGGCCGTGCTCTTACAAGAGCAGCGGTCCTGGAGCTCTTGGGGCCGCGCCACTGGCTTGCCCTGCTCGGCCCTGACAAGGACAGCGAGCCAGGGGAGTCCCAGGGCCTATTCTGCCGGTCTTCAGTCTTCACTGGTAAAGCTTCTAACACACTGGCTCCGAGCCCTCTGGCTCCCCGCCTTTTATAGGAATCCTCTCCGAGGGGTGGGGCTATGGGGGATCACAGCGCCCCCATGGCCCCCCCAGGGTTAACCGATGCGGACGTGGATGTAGACACCCGTGTGTGGGTGCAGACACCCTTGTGTTTCTGTCCGCCTTTCTCCCCGTAACAACCCCTACAGAGGCAAGGCGTTGTATAATAATAATAATAATAATGACGACATTGAAAGTTTCTGCGGTGGCTCCTGTGGACCTGATGTGATATTTGGGGGGGCCTTGCTGTGTTCGGTTGGGCCCACCCTCGTGATTAGACTCGGTGGCCTTTTGCGGGGAGGTTTTAGCGGTGGGCCCTGCAATGCGGCCGTGGCGCGAAGGCTTACGTCGGGCAGCTCCTCGATGAAGTTGTGGATGTTGGCCGCCTGGGCAGCCGCCAGCATCTCGGCGTGGCTCACGCTGCGCTCGTTGTCCCCGTAGGCGATGTTTTCGCCGATGCTGCAGTCGAAGAGGATGGGCTCCTGCGACACGATACCCATCTGCTGTCGCAGCCAGCTGATCCTCAGAGTGCGCAGCTCCTCACCGTCCAGCAGCTGCACGAAGGGGGTCGGGGGTCGGGGGGGGATGGGGTCGGTGTGCAGACAAGGATGTGTGGTAAGGGTTTGGGGGTTTAAAGTCCCCCCCCCCCCCGCTCCCTTTATACAATGCATGGCAATTCTATGAGAGTATTTGGCTGCTATGAGTTTCCACGTGATTTGAAAGCCACTTCGTTGAGCTATTATCTGTGGCCATGTCGCTTCTGTGTGCCCCTCCCTTTTTTGAAACACGGTCTCGTTTACAAGGTTGTGACAACCTCTGATTTTCTTTTTAATGCACGGTTGGCTACGTACAGTGCCAAAGAAGTTCAGCATTCAAAATCATCATCAGCAGCATAATAACCATCGGTCTCCCCTCCTCTACCCCCTCACTTGCACCGTCTGAAACCGTAATCCTCCTAACCGCCCTTGCTCTAACACCTCGCCCTCCTCCATCCCCTCCACCCGTGACTCTTGCTAACCCTTAAACATCCCTCGCCGTGTACCAGAGGTCGCAACCGGGTACCCGATACCCGTACCCTGCCCAATACCCGGCTACCTGTACCCGGCCAGGTACGGGTACGGGTAGCCGTTTGCGACCCTAGTGCGGCCAGGTATGGGTACGAGTAGGCCACGAGTCACTGGTGAGTAACCGTTTGTCACTCATTTCGGGTAGGGTACGGGTAGGGTACGGGTAGGAAACGGGTACCCATACCCGGCCGAGTACGGGTAAGGAATCAAAACCCGTTTGCGACCTCTGCCGTGTACCTCCATAACTCGCTCGCCCCTAACCTCCATCATAACCCTCCTCCCCATCCCTCGCCTCACCCTCTCGCCCTCAATCTCTGCTCCCCCCTCGCACCTCCCCCCCACCCCCCCCACCACCACTCACCACAACGCCATCGGCGGGGTCGTAGAAGCGCTCGAGGAGCTGCACCGAGGTGCTCTTGCCGCAGCCGCTGCTGCCGACGAGGGCCAGCGTCTGGCCGGGCTCCACGGCGACGCTGAGGCCCTGCAGGACGGGCACGCCGGGACGCGTCGGGTAGCGGAAGCGCACGTCACGGAACTCGACGCGCCCGCGGGCGCCCCCCGGCGGGGCGGACCCGGCCTCGCTGTAGCTGTCGATGGAGGGCACCTGCGCCAGCAGCGCGAAGACTCGCCGCGCCGACATCTGAGCCTTGGCGAAGTCGGGCGCGAAGGAGCTCGTCTGACCCACCGACATCGCCGAGAAGACGATGGCCGAGAAGACCCTGGGGGGGGGGGGGGGGGGCGGGGAAGAGGAAGGTTGTTTGGTGGTTGTGGTGGGGGTTGAAGTGGCGGTCCTAGTAGGAGAAGAGGGAGGTGGATGTGTGGTGTGATGGTGGTCGTGGTGGGGGGTGGGAGTTAAGAGGGAGATGTGTTTGAATGAAAGTCTTGTGTGACCTCATGGGGGTGCTTTTAACGAGTAGCGGCAACCTATAATTATGCTGAAGCCCGGCAAGACGCACAAGGGGTTGGTGGGTGGTCAACGGCACCATGTACTGCCTCTAGTCAACCTAGGGGAGGCCCAGGACCGGTTCGGGTAATCGTCTCCAGCGCTGGTTTGTGGCAGTGCGCAAGTGGCGAAGGCAAGTCGCCAGTGGAGGGGGGGAGTTGAACTCGCAGGAAGACCACGTGATGAGTGGGATTTGGACTCACAGGAAGACGTTCTCGAACGTCATGTACTGGTTGGCGACAAGCCAGGCGCCGAAGCGGAAGGTGACGGCGTAGATGATGTAGAGCATCATCTGGGAGATGCCGTACGTGAGGCCGGAAAGCGGGGCCTGGCGCATGCTCTGCCTGGGAAGGGGGGGGGCGGGGGGGGGAGGGGGGGGCGGGGGGGAGGGGGGGGCGGGGGGGAGGGGGGGGGCAGCAGCGGTGAAGACGACATCAGCAGTGGTGGTGACCTCATGATTAATGGTCATTGCATTGGTGGTGGTCATTGGAGGTGACAGTAGTGATTGTATTGCGAGGATGGGGCTGACAGTGGTGGTTCTGCTCGTGTTCATGGTTGTGACTGTGGGTAGAGGTGGTGGCCGCTGTGAAGACGACATCAGCAGTGGTAGTGACCTCATGATTAACGGTCATTGCATTGGTGGTGGTCATTGGAGGTGACAGTAGTGATTGTATTGCGAGGATGGGGCTGACAGTGGTGGTTCTGCTCGTGTTCATGGTTGTGACTGTGGGTAGAGGTGGTGGCCGCTGTGAAGACGACATCAGCAGTGGTAGTGACCTCATGATTAACGGTCATTGCATTGGTGGTGGTTATTGGAGGTGACAGTAGTGATTGTATTGCGAGGATGGGGCTGACAGTGGTGGTTCTGCTCGTGTTCATGGTTGTGACTGTGGGTAGAGGTGGTGGCCGCTGTGAAGACGACATCAGCAGTGGTAGTGACCTCATGATTAACGGTCATTGCATTGGTGGTGGTCATTGGAGGTGACAGTAGTGATTGTATTGCGAGGATGGGGCTGACAGTGGTGGTTCTGCTCGTGTTCATGGTTGTGACTGTGGGTAGAGGTGGTGGCCGCTGTGAAGACGACATCAGCAGTGGTAGTGACCTCATGATTAACGGTCATTGCATTGGTGGTGGTCATTGGATGTGACAGTAGTGATTGTATTGCGAGGATGGGGCTGACAGTGGTGGTTCTGCTCGTGTTCATGGTTGTGACTGTGGGTAGAGGTGGTGGCCGCTGTGAAGACGACATCAGCAGTGGTAGTGACCTCATGATTAACGGTCATTGCATTGGTGGTGGTCATTGGAGGTGACAGTAGTGATTGTATTGCGAGGATGGGGCTGACAGTGGTGGTTCTGCTCGTGTTCATGGTTGTGACTGTGGGTAGAGGTGGTGGCCGCTGTGAAGACGACATCAGCAGTGGTAGTGACCTCATGATTAACGGTCATTGCATTGGTGGTGGTCATTGGAGGTGACAGTAGTGATTGTATTGCGAGGATGGGGCTGACAGTGGTGGTTCTGCTCGTGTTCATGGTTGTGACTGTGGGTAGAGGTGGTGGCCGGACACTGGTTTTTGTTGTTGTTGTTGTTGTGGTTAATTACTTGTGCACATCCTCCAAGCTGTCTGCAAAGCTCTGGAAGAAGGCATCCTCCCGGCACAGGCCCACCACCGTACGGATGTTCTCCACTGCCTCTGTGCTGATCTGGATGACACACACGCAAAACAAACACAAAGATCCCCCGTGTAGCCTTAGCAGACTTTTGGGGTAGGTGCTGCAAGCGAGTGGCACGCAACGAAGGTTGGCGCAGCGCACGAGGGGAGCGGGTGGCCAGAACCCACACCTCACCGCCTCCCTCGTGCCGATGTTTACACACGGCACTAGGTCGTAATTTGAGGCCGAGCCAACCTAGGGGAGGGCCCAGGAGAGGCTCCAATAATTATCACCCGCTGTGATAATTCCCGCGAGCAAGGATTCCGGTGGATGAGTTCGGAGCGCCAAATGAGACAATAGGCATGCGGCAGAGGTCGCAACCGGGTACCCGATACCCATACCCTACCCGATACCCGGCCGGGTACGGGTACCTGTTTGCGACCCTGGTGCGGCCGGGTATGGGTACGGGTAGGCCGTGAGTCACTGGTGAGTAACTGTTTGTCACTCATTTCCCAACGTCTTGTCTCTTCTCACAATTCAAGTTCCTAGAATCAACCCACCCGCGCCTGCAACATGGCTTCATCCCAGAGGTCGCAATCAGGTACCCGATACCCGTACCCGGCCGGGTACGGGTATGGTACGGGTACGGCCGGGTATGGGTACGGGTACCCATTTGCGACCCTGGTGCGGCCGGGTACGGGTAAGGAATCAAAACCCGTTTGCGACCTCTGGCATGCGGGTGCAAGTGTTGGCCACTCATCTTGTGGTGGTGGTGGTGGCGATGATGGCAGAGGGTGGTAGTGGGGAGCGGTGGCGCAACGGTTAGGGCAACTGCGCTACAGACCACCTGGCGACTCGCATTCGACTCCCGCTCGACCAATAGCGTTGGAGATTATTTGGACCAGTTTAACACGTGTAAGGCTTTCGCGACCAATATTATTCATAATCAACGTTTTTGGGTTTAGATCGCGTTATTTATAAATGTGTCGTAACCCTCCACCACCCGACATGGCCAGTCAGTAAAAAATTAACCCGTAAATCCTTTATATGCGTGGCGGCTAGAGTCCTCTCGTCCTCTGGCTTGAGATGGTTGCCACCTCTGGGTCAGATGATTGTCTGCAGTATTAAACAATTGGTAATTAAATATTTAATTTGTTTTCCCTAATCAGTGTAAAATTTTGGAAGAAAAAAATTCACGAACATTAATTGTCTCGCACAACGAGTCTGTGTGCAAAATGTCAGCTCGATTGGATTACGGGAAGTGGGTTAAAAAACGACCGAAAGATTTGCATGGTCCTAAGCAAGCAAACAAGCACGCAAGCAAGCAAGCAAGCACGCAAACTTAATATAAAGGATTTAAAAAGTGTCACGTTGACAAAAGACAATTAGTTCACCGCTTTAGCCCACCGGTGTGTTGAAGCGTGAAACCACAACATTTACAATTTGAGTAGTACGACGTTTCGCTGGTAATTGCAACCAGCATCATCGGGCAATTCGCCAGAATGGTGAGGCTCTGCTGTGTCTCCCGTTCTTATATAGAGCAGCAGCAGGAGGGTGACGTCATCATTAATTAATGATGACGTCACCCTGCTGCTTATATAGAGCAGCAGCAGCAGGGTGACGTCATCATCAACTCATCAACTCATCAGGTGCAATGATTTGAGGGGGGGGGGGGCGGGTTATTGTAATTATATACTAGATTAGTAATCGGGCAGTTGTTACGATGCGAGTTGTAGATTAGTAATCATTTGGAATGTGTTTTATTGTGATTATGCTACGTTAGTAATCAGGCCTGGGCCCTCCCCTAGGTTTACTCGCCATTAAACGAGTACCTGGGTGCAATGTGGTAACATCGGCACTTGGGATTCAACAACAGTGCCTGGCGTGCGGCGCTGGCCCACCCATCTCCTTGTGTGCCATACCGGCCTGTGTTTGATTCTGCTCACGTACAATGTTATTATTACACCGAGACCTCCTTTAGCAGTGGCAAAATATAGTGATAGGTTTTAACCCTTTAAACTGGTACAAAAACTGACACCTTTATACAAGGCATCATGTTACAGTAAATGCTTACCCCGAGCTCTCAATACTCTGATAGTGCGCTGTTTTTGAGTTGTACGCCTTTTGGCGTCATCTGGTCCAACACCAATGGAGACTAGGCTCTAAGGAAAGCTGTCTCGGGTGTGGACCAATCAACTTCAAGGACATCATCAGAGTTATTTATTTTAGTTTGCAATTTAACTGCTTGTGTTGTGGTTATTGCAAACATGATGTCTTGTATAAAGGTGTCAGTTTTTGTACCAGTTGAAAGGGTAAAAACCTATCACAATGTTATTATTATTGACCTGACCCTATGTTTACATGTCATATTGGGGGGTGTGTGTGGGTGGGTGGGGGATGGAGTGGGCTGCTACCACAACCACCGCTTTGCCCCTCCTCACCCTGCCGGAATTCTCCAGCGCCGTGTGATCCTTGTTAGCGTGGCCGCCCACGGCACGGAAGCGGATGACGGTGGAGATGGCGATGATGGGCATGAGTGCGAGGATGAGCAGGCACAGCTGCCAGCCGAAGACGAACGCGATGATGACCCCCGTCGCCAGGCTGGCGAGCGTCTGCGCAGACAGGCCCAGGCGAGCCCCCGTAGCCTGCACCACAAAAACGCGTTGGCAACTGCGTTAGAACCCTGTAGCTACGTCGTCGGCTGTGTTATAACTCTAATTAACGAGCCAAATGCGTTATAACCCTGTAATAACTAGGTCGTCGGCTGTGTTATAACTTTAATAGACGAGCCAAATGAGTTATAACCCTGTAATAACTAGGTCGTCGGCTGTGTTATAACTCTCATAAACGAGCCAAATGAGTTATAACCCTGTAATAACTAGGTCGTCGGCTGTGTTATAACTCTAATACACGAGCCAAATGAGTTATAACCCTGTAATAACTAGGTCGTCGGCTGTGTTATAACTCTAATACACGAGCCAAATGAGTTATAACCCTGTAATAACTAGGTCGTCGGCTGTGTTATAACTCTAATAGACGAGCCAAATGCGTTATAACCCTGTAATAACTAGGTCGTCGGCTGTGTTATAACTCTAATAGACGAGCCAAATGCGTTATAACCCTGTAATAACTAGGTCGTCGGCTGTGTTATAACCCTGTAATAATGGCATCAACTTTGTTATAAATGTAATAACTACACCTTGTAACAGTGTTATAAATAACAAAGCTACAACCCTGTAATAACCACGTGAACTGTTATGGACCGCAACCATCGACTGTTATAACGGTATTACATTCTCGTTATCCCTGCACCGGGACACATTATATAATCGTACAAACCACATTACAGTGAGGGAAAAAAGTATTTGATCCTCCGCTGATTTTGTACGTTTTCCCACTGACAAAGAAATGATCAGTCTAATTTTAATGGTTGGTTTATTTGAACGGTGAGAGACAGAATAACACTAAAAAAAATCCAGAAAAACGCATGTCAAAAATGTTATGAATTGATTCGAATTTTAATGCTACTGTAGTGACATAAGAAGGGAGGGGCTGCTGGGGGCTCTGAGTTCCCAGGTGGGTCCAGACGCTTAAGCTTCTGGGCGCCAGGCGTTGGGTTCCCAGGCGCTTAAGCCTTTTTGGCGCCGCCAACGGGGGGGGGGGGGGGGGGCTGTGTGTGCTCTGTGGGATGTCTGGTGGCGCACACAGCCCCACCCCTCGTTAGACCAGGCATAAAAGGAGAGCTCCCTGGACGATCAGGGTCCAGTTGTAACTCAAGACCCAAGACCCACGACCAGCCATCTGAAGACCCTGGGATGCTGTGAGAGCCAGCGCTGGGACTCTGGAACTCCCGACTCTACGACCTTGTGAGGGCGAGTTCCGGAGCGTAGCCAGAGTAGTGGATCTAGGTTGTGTAGCTAGGCTGTGTACCTAGGCTGTAACAGAGTATCAGGACTGTTGGAGAGTTGGAGTACTGTTGGAGTGTTGTATTGTAATAAAGAAGTACATCTAAAAGTGTCTCCGGAACCCGTTACACTACCAACAGCTACATTCAAACGGGCACACACCACACACGAACCCGCAGCATCATTAACCGCAACGTAACCGCGACTTAACCGCATTATAACGGCGCCGCTTGGCATTGTCGCCACGACAACATTGCCCGCTGAGCGGCCCCGCGTCTAGACGAAGACGCGAGCGTTCCAAGGCCGCGCTCCGCCACAATGCGCCACTCACCCCCTTGATTTGCGAGGCATCCGTCGCTAGGCGTGTGGTCAGCACCCCCACGGCGTTCTTGTGGTCGTCGAACCAGGAGATGTCCTGCACGCGGAGCGAAGGTAAAGAAACCTGCCACACTCCCCACCCCCCTCTGTGTAGCCTCCAGAATCTGCTGGGGCAAGTGCTGTCGACGAGCTCAAACGATTACCACGATGACAAACATGATGATGATGATGACAACCATGACGATGATGATGATGACAACCATGATGATGATAACCATGACGATGATGACGACGATGATGATAACCATGACGATTATGACAAAAACGATGATGATGATGACAACCATGACGATGATGATGATAACCATGACGACGACGATGATGACGATGACGACCATGACAACGACGCTGATGATGATGATGATGACGACAACGACGATGATGAGAACGACGACGACAATGCTGACAACCATGATAATGATGACTATGACAACCATGATAATGACGACGACGACGACCATGATGATGATGACAACCATGACAACGACGCTGCCGATGATGACGACGACGACACACACCTGTCGCAGTATGGCCTTGAAAAGGCGGCCGCGCACTCGCATGGTGAGAATCTCGCCGGCCTTGCCGAACATGACGCCCTGGGAAAGCCGAGAGACGCACGACACGCTCATGTTGACGCCTCTCAGGGGCTCTACAGGGACGACGCACGTGGAGATGGAGGCCCCTCCCTCTCAGCCATTCGGCCACACCCACTTTGACACTAGCACCACCCACTTCACCACCAGCCCCAAAGAAAACAAAGACCCCCCCCCCCCCAACGTACAGAGACTCCTCCGTTTAAGACGCAGGGGGGCTTTGCGCGACCAGTTAATCAATCGCAAAGGTTTTTTTGGGTTAGATGGCATAAGTAGAATTGTGTCGTGACCCTCCACCACCCGACACAGCCAGTAAAGTTCGTGACGTAAACAAAACGCCAATTAGTGGGGTGGGGGTGGGGGGTCGGGAAATATCCATTTAGGGCCGTCCATAAATGATGTCACGTGATTTGACGATTTTTGACCCCCCCCCCTCAAATATGACATCACAAAGCTCTGCCCCCCCCAAAAAAAAATAAAACATGCTTCAAATCTCTTTAAAGTATTGTCATTGCAGTGCGTATTTAATGTGGCGCTGCACTCTGATGTTGTAGGAGAAAACATTTATTACAAAGTCTAAGTAGAAAGTATCTATATTTATTTAAAGTTGCGTATGACGTCTCATTTCTCACCCCCCCCCCCTCGTCACACCGTCACAAATGTCTGACCCCCCCCCCCAGGTTCGTGACGTCATTTATGGACGTCCCCTTAGGGACGAGCACTGCTGAGCGGGCACGACGTGGGATCTGTGGGTCAGCCTGCCAAGGTGCCCGGGGGGGTGGGGGGTGCAGGGCTCACCTGCAGGAAGTAGGAGACGAAGCTGATGGCGCCCAGGAGCAGGAAGATGAGCGAGTAGGTGATCGTCTTGGTGCTCTTCACCTGTGCGTCTGGTTCGTTAAACACCTGGGTGACGGGACACGGACAAAGGTTTTCCCCGTTTAGCCCAAACGGACTGCTGGGGAAAGTTGTTGTGATGGCGAGCGGAGCCCACGAAGGCCGGCACGTCACACGAGGGGGTGGTGGGGTGGTCAACACCGCCGTGCCCGGCCGCCTTTGTCTCCCCGGTGGCATTGTGTTTTTTTTACTTTTTACACACCACACCAGGTCGAATCGACCTAGGGGGGGGGGGGCGGGAGGCCCAGGACCAGTTTGAGATAATCATTGCCGGGTGTTGACCGTGAGCGGGAAATCGAACTTCGTAGCGCAGCGTAGCCAGCCACTCCACCACCGGTCCCCCCCCTACCACCACCACCACTGCTCCTCTACCGTGTCCACCAGTGTGGCAAACCTCTCCACACACACAGCTCGTTAACCACGTGGGCAAGGGGAGAAAACCCCACGTGTGCAAGGGGGGGGGATTTAAAACATAAAAAAAACTGCTGCACGCAAAGAGGCGGCCAAGTCTCTCTCTCTCTCTCGCATGTTCTGTCTCTCCTTTTTTTTTCACGAATTTGCGTGTCATCCTTGTGCAGGGGCCATGCTAATCTTCTCTGTATCGTTCCAATTTTAGTATATGTACTGCCGGAGCAAGTACTCTCGTTCTCTCTCTCGCTCTCTCTCGTGCTCTCTCGCTCTCTCTCACCCCGATGATTTTGGCAAAAAAGACGGCGAACGCCGGCTGCACCCCGCCGCTCACAATCGCCGCCACGACGCCGATCACCAGGAAGTGCCATTCCGGGCGGTTCATCGCCAAGATCTGGGAGTACTTCACTGTTGGAAGCTCCGCCTCCTACACACACGGACACACGGACAAACACAAAGACACACATGAACACGCAGATTCCCCCGTATAGCCTTAACAAACTGTAAGGGCAAGTGCTGTTAGCGAGCACCAATGAAGGCCGGCACGGCACACGAGGGGGTGGGTGGTCAGCACCACGCCCGGCCGCCTTTGTCTCCCCCAGTGCTGATGTTTTACACACTGCACCAGGTACTCATTTGAGGCCGAGTTGACCTAGGGAAGGGCCCAGGACCGGTTTAGATAATCGTCACCGGGTGTCGGCCGTGAGCGGGAATCGAACTCTGGTCGCCGGGGTTTGTAGCGTGGCGCTAACCACTACTCTACCGCTACACCACAAACAAAGATTCCCGCGTGTAGCCATTGCAGAGCGGTTGGGGCGAGTGATGCGAGCAGCTATGAAGGTTAGCGAGCACCTAACCAGCGGTTGCTCGGGGGCGGGGGCAGCGACATCCCGATGCCGCGGAGGCATTTCACTCGATAGGGGAAATAAATTTCGATGTAAAGCTTTCGTGACTGCAGGGATTCATCTTCTTGGTTCTTTCGGTAAAGTCACGTAGAAGGGAAGTAATAAAATAATAAAAATAAAACATTAAATAATTCTCACGACGTTTCGGCCGTCCTCAGGTGAAGAACAGGTCAGACGCTGTCTTCTCGACAGACCTGCTCTTCACCTGAGGACGGCTGCTTGCCGTTGTGGCCGAAACGTCGTGAGAATTATTTAATTATGTTTTATTTTATTATTTCCCTTCTACGTGTCTTCACCGAAAGAACCAACAAGAGGGGAAATACAATAAAATAAAAAGTCCAAACCTCCTCCTTCTCCAGCTCCTTCTGGCTTTTGGCTTTCTCTCCCTGCTCCGCCTTCCTCTTCTTCTTCCTCCGCCTCTTCTCCGCCCGGCTCATCTTCGCCGTCCTCTGCGACCGTCGAGAGCTCGCGCCGTCACGGAACGACGCCCCCGCCAGCGACGCCGCGTCGCCCGGCGCGCCGTGGTTCGAGTCCTGCCCGGGGTGGAGCGAGCCGGTAGCCACCACCTCGTGGTCGTCCTCCAACACGATATCCTCCTCCTCCTCGTCCTCCACCGCATCATCATTGATCTCGTCGTCGTCCTCGTCCTCCAAGTTTTCTAAATCCGCGGCGCCCTCCTCGTCAGGATCCTGTCCCAGCGTCTGGCCGGAGGACGGAATACATCGCGGTTAAAGCAACTCCGGCCCACGGCTTGGCCACGCAGTGGCACCACTCGTTTGACCGTCGGCTCCAGAGGGATGCTGCGCAAGTTACGCACGACTGTTGAACTTCTTTTGCACCCTACGGAGCCAACCGCGCTCATGCGGAGGTGCGACGACGACGATGATGATGACGATGAGTCGAGCCGGCCCCCATGACCGGCATGCGAATTCGCCGTTTGATTTTGTGAGCTGCTCGCGTCAAAAAGCTGTGCCCACATCCAGACGCCCCAATGATTTGAAGAATGTAAAAAAATTGCCATCAATTATCTGGGAGGCTCCACAGGCAGCACGGTGAACTGGTCTGGCATCTTGAGTCCGCACATGTGACCGTGCACGTGTGTGACGATTATCTGAACCAGTGCTGGGCCTCTCCTAGGTCGACTGGTGCGGTGTGTAAACATCGCCACGACAGAGACAAAGGCGGCCGGGCGTGGTGTTACTCGCTAACAGCACTTGCCCCAACAGTCTTAAAGCTACATGGGGGAATCTTTGTATTTAGTCTTTGCATGCGGCAGTGGTAAGTTTGCACAGTAGGGGGCACAGCTGCTGCATCTGCCAATCATCTCAGTCGAGCCGTCGCACCTGGGGTCTGTCCCGTGTGTGCTTGTGTGTGTGCGTGTCTGTGTGCGTGTGGGTTTGTGTGTGTGTGTGCTGGGTCTGCCCCGTGACCTCCTACCACTGAGCCTTCGACACTTTACGTGCCCTCGGAGTGCACCTAGCCTGGCACAGGCGCCGTGGTGACGTCACTTAGCGGCGAACGGCGGCTACTGCTGCATGCGGTCATACGGTCGGGCGCTCCGCGCTGCATCGGCGTACCCGCGCGCTCCGTGCGGCGGGTGGGGGAGCACCTGCTGGGTGACGAGGAGGTGGTAGATGCCGCGGCGCTCCATAAGCTCTGCGTGCGAGCCCTGTTCCACCACGACGCCGTCGTTGAAGCCGGCGATGACGTCGGCAGTGCGGATCGTCGACAGCCGGTGGGCGATGACGATCGTCGTGCGGCCTTGGCGAGCCTGCAAGCGACGATGGCAGCGGAGAAGGAAAATGTCGAGCGGAGGAGGAGGAGGCAGTGACTCCCTCGCATGAGAGTCCAATCGTGACGGCGGTGGAGAGCGATCCACCACTCGCATGGCGATGTCTAGTGTGCCGCTCGATTGCCAGTCTGTGGTAGTCTGCGACCCTCTACGCGAGTCTGTGATTCTCTACGCGAGTCTGAGTCTCTGTGCTGGTCGAAGGGTCTCTGCGCGAGTCTGTGATTCTCTACGCGAGTCCGAGTCTCTGTGCTGGTCTACGGGTCTCTGTGCGAGTCTGTGATTCTCTACGCGAGTCTGAGTCTCTGTGCTGGTCTACGGGTCTCTGTGCGAGTCTGTGATTCTCTACGCGAGTCCGAGTCTCTGTGCTGGTCGAAGGGTCTCTGTGCGAGTCTGTGATTCTCTACGTGAGTCCGAGTCTCTGTGCTGGTCGAAGGGTCTCTGCGCGAGTCTGTGATTCTCTACGCGAGTCCGAGTCTCTGTGCTGGTCGAAGGGTCTCTGTGCGAGTCTGTGATTCTCTACGCGAGTCCGAGTCTCTGTGCGAGTCTGTGATTCTCTACGCGAGTCCGAGTCTCTGTGCTGGTCTGTGATTCTCTACGCGAGTCCGAGTCTCTGTGCGAGTCTGTGATTCTCTACGCGAGTCCGAGTCTCTGTGCTGGTCGAAGGGTCTCTGCGCGAGTCCGCTCACGGCCGTCGCCCCACTGGCGACCCCCCCCCCCCCCAGACACCAATTGCTTCTTCACACCCACCGCTCGCTCACGCACGCACGCCTCGCTCGCTCGCACACAGAGTTTGTGATAAACTCGGTGCCGCTGTTTCTCCGGCGCCCCCGGAGGGACCGAAGTGAGACCTTGTCGAGGGCGGACTGCACGACGGCCTCGCTCTCCGTGTCGAGCGCCGACGTTGCCTCGTCCAGCAGCAGGATCTTGGGGTTGCGCACGAGGGCGCGCGCGATGGCGATGCGCTGCTTCTGTCCGCCCGACAGCTGCGCCCCGCGCTCGCCCACCATCGTGTTGAATTTCTGGAAGGGCAGGACATGGCGCCAACACGTTACCGCTGGCACCCTCCGTGTGTGTGTGTGCCGTGTGACTGCCACGTGACTACCACGTGACTGCCGCCACCCTCTTGAACATGCGACTACAAATTTGTGTACCACCATGTGACCGTCATCGCCCTCTGTGCCATGTGACTGCCCCCACCCTCTGTAACATGTGACTTCTACAAATTTGTGTACCACCATGTGACCGTCATCACCTTCTGTGCCATGTGACTGCCGCCACCCTCTGTAACATGTGACTACTACAAATTTGTGTACCACCATGTGACCGTCATCACCCTCTGTGCCACGTGACTGCCCGCCACCCTCTGTAACATGTGACTACTACAAATTTGTGTACCACCATGTCACCGTCATCACCCTCTGTGCCACGTGACTGCCCCCACCCTCTGTAACATGCGACTACTACAAATTTGTGTACCACCATGTCACCGTCATCACCCTCTGTGCCACGTGACTGCCCCCACCCTCTGTAACATGTGACTACTACAAATTTGTGCACCATGTGACTGCCGCCACTCTTAAGACCAGACCAGACTTGTATCTCAATGCTGGCCAAAGTATGCGTTACACGAACATAATTCAATACGCGATCGTCATTTGTGTATATAAATGATGATCACAATAATCGACAACCTTTTTCAGATCTTAGCGCAGCACGCAAACCGCTGTCCCTGCTACCCCATTATATAACAAAGACAAAGATCCCCCGTGTAGCCTTCAGAGGCTGTTGGCGCAAGTGCTGTTAGCGAGTCGGCACACGAGGGAGGTGGGTTGCCAACACCACGCCCTTCCACCTTTGTCTCTCTAGTGGCAATGTTTAGACACCGCCCCAGGTACTCATTTGAGGCCGAGTGGACCTAGGGGAGACGCCGAACCGATTAGGATGATCGCCACTGGTGGGTTCGTAGCGCAGCGGGTTAACCGTTGCACTACCACTCCCCACACATACATACACACATATAATAACACCCGTCATTCGCCACTAAGTGGCGGTAACGTCACCACAGCGCTTGTGCCAGGCCATGTGCACGTCAAGGCCACGTGAACTGGCAGGAGGTCACGGTGCCGTGGGTTTACCGCCTGTGCCGCCCTCCCTCTGCCAACATACATACGCACACACCTCACACGCACGCACACACACGCGCAGGTATAATTGTCTCTTACGAGGCAGATCCGAATCTTGAGACCTTGAAAATCTGCACATTTGTAAGCGATACGAGGAGGCGCCGTCGTAGGTACGTTCCCGTCACGGCGTCCGCAAGTCGGGTTGCATTCTTTCAAAGCGACAAAATCGGGCCCCGAGAACCCAACTGCACCCCCCCCCCTCCCACCCCCGCGGCATCTTGATGCTCGTACCAAAAATAAAACGAGAAAAACGCGACTTGGTTCCCAGACGAGTGTTTTTTGTGTCCCACGCGCCGTGCCACACGCCGGCTGTCAAAAACGATTCGTCGGGCAAAGCCCCGCGGAGCTGTCTAGCTCTTCGCCACGCTTGGTAGCTGACTGCAGTGACCGGTATCATCGCCATCGTCACCCATGAAGCTTGGTGGCCTTCATCCAGCAGTAGGTAGACCACGGCTAACGATGGTGGCGGCCTTCATCCAGCAGTAGGTAGACCACGGCTAACGATGGGGGCCTTCATCCAGCAGTAGGTAGATCATGGCTGACGATGGGGGCCTTCATCCAGCAGTAGGTAGATCATGGCTGACGATGGGGGCCTTCATCCAGCAGTAGGTAGATCACGGCTGACGATGGGGGCCTTCATCTAGCAGTAGGTAGACCACGGCTGACGATGGGGGCCTTCATCCAGCAGTAGGTAGATCACGGCTGACGATGGGGGCCTTCATCTAGCAGTAGGTAGACCACGGCTAATGATGGGGGCCTTCATCCAGCAGTAGGTAGACCACGGCTAACGATGGTGGCCTTCATCCAGCAGTAGGTAGACCACGGCTAATGATGGGGGCCTTCATCCAGCAGTAGGTAGACCACGGCTAACGATGGTGGCCTTCATCCAGCACTAGGTAGACCACGGCTAACGATGGGGGCCTTCCTCCAGCAGTAGGTAGACCACGGCTAATGATGGTGGCCTTCATCCAGCAGTAGGTAGACCACGGCTAATGATGGTGGCCTTCATCCAGCAGTAGGTAGACCACGGCTAACGATGGTGGCCTTCATCCAGCAGTAGGTAGACCACGGCTAATGATGGTGGCCTTCATCCAGCAGTAGGTAGACCACGGCTAATGATGGGGGCCTTCATCCAGCAGTAGGTAGACCACGGCTAATGATGGGGGCCTTCATCCAGCAGTAGGTAGACCACGGCTAATGATGGTGGCCTTCATCCAGCAGTAGGTAGACCACGGCTTACGATGGGGGCCTTCATCCAGCAGTAGGTAGACCACGGCTAATGATGGTGGCCTTCATCCAGCAGTAGGTAGACCACGGCAAACGATGGTGGCCTTCATCCAGCAGTAGGTAGACCACGGCTAATGATGGTGGCCTTCATCCAGCAGTAGGTAGACCACAGCTAATGATGGGGGCCTTCATCCAGCAGTAGGTAGACCACGGCTAACGATGGGGGCCTTCATCCAGCAGTAGGTAGACCACGGCTAATGATGGGGGCCTTCATCCAGCAGTAGGTAGACCACGGCTAACGATGGTGGCCTTCATCCAGCAGTAGGTAGACCACGGCTAACGATGGTGGCCTTCATCCAGCAGTAGGTAGACCACGGCTAATGATGGTGGCCTTCATCCAGCAGTAGGTAGACCACGGCTAACGATGGGGGCGGCCTTCATCCAGCACTAGGTAGACCACGGCTGACGATGGGGGCCTTCATCCAGCAGTAGGTAGACCACGGCTAATGATGGTGGCCTTCATCCAGCAGTAGGTAGACCACGGCTAACGATGGTGGCCTTCATCCAGCAGTAGGTAGACCACGGCTAATGATGGTGGCCTTCATCCAGCACTAGGTAGACCACGGCTAATGATGGGGGCGGCCTTCATCCAGCAGTAGGTAGACCACGGCTGTTGATGGGGGCCTTCATCCAGCAGTAGGTAGACCACGGCTAACGATGGGGGCGGCCTTCATCCAGCAGTAGGTAGACCACGGCTGACGATGGGGGCCTTCATCCAGCAGTAGGGAGACCACGGCTGACGATGGTGGCGGCCTTCATGCAGCAGTAGGGAGACCACGGCTGACGATGGTGGCCTTCATCCAGCAGTAGGTAGACCACGGCTAACGATGGGGGCCTTCATCCAGCAGTAGGTAGACCACGGCTAACGATGGGGGCCTTCATCCAGCAGTAGGTAGACCACGGCTAACGATGGTGGCCTTCATCCAGCAGTAGGTAGACCACGGCTAACGATGGGGGCCTTCATCCAGCAGTAGGTAGACCACGGCTAACGATGGTGGCCTTCATCCAGCAGTAGGTAGACCACGGCTAACGATGGGGGCCTTCATCCAGCAGTAGGTAGACCACTGCTGCTGGTGAAGATGTCAAGCATTACGTAAGTTCAGGGACTCGGGCATAATCTGCTACCCCCCCCTATTAAATGTACAGGAATGGGGGGGGGGCATCCGTGCCAAGAATTTTAAGAATCCGTTTATTATAAAACAGAACCTGGTACAGTCGCATTTCAAAGGTAGGGAGAGCCGAGGAGAGCCGCGCGGGTTTTTACTTTTTTGTCTTAAAAGAAACCGGTTCTGCAGCCCCTGCTGCTGCTGCTGTGCTCGGGTTAAATTTAGCACGAGACGGTGGTGGGGGCGGTGGGTGGCCCAGTGGTTGTGGGGGCCGGTGGTGGGGGCGGCGGTGGGTGGCCCAGTGGTTGTGGCGGTGGTGGTGGTTGTGGTGGGTGGCCCAGTGGTTGTGGCGGTGGTGGGGGAGGTGGTGGGTGGCCCAGTGGTTGTGGTGGTGGTGGGTGGCCCAGTGGTTGTGGCAGTGGTGGAAGGTGGTGGATGGCCCAGTGGTTGTGGCGATGGTGGGGGAGGTGGTGGGTGGCCCAGTGGTTGTGGTGGTGGCGGTGGGAGGCCCAGTGGTTGTGACAATGGTGGGGGGCGGTGGTTGTGGCGGTGGTGGCGGTGGTGGTGGCGAGTGGCCCAGTGGTGGAGGCGGGGGGGGGGGGCGTGAGTGGTGGCGCTAGCGGTTAACGCTACGAACCCGGCCACCCGAGTTTGATTCCCGCTCGCGGTGTTGGCATCCCCTCGGTCAACAAATGAGTACCTGGTGCGGTAGTGTGGTTAATCATCACCACTGGGGAGACAAAGGCGGCCAGGCGTGGTGTTCCCAAGCACCCCCCCCCCTCGTGCGCCGTACCGACCTTCGTAGGTGCCACTAGCTCACAGCACTTGCCCCAACAGTCGGCTAAAGGCTCCACGGGGGATCTTTGTCTTTGCTTGGCGTGAGTGTGCCGGGTATCATGTCAAATGTCACAAGCGAGGCGGCTCGGCTCGCCTTACACAAACACAATGGATGTGTAACCGATACAAACACGAGCAAGGAACCTCTGCATCACCCCGTGTGGCCCACACAACACTATGGGGGGGCAAGTGTTTTATTCTTTACGAGGTAAGGACCACTGAGCTGGTCGCCTAGCTCGTTTTCAGCAGCGACCGGCTCTCGCGAAGGATCGCTCGACTGATCGGTGGCTTATCGTGTGGGAATCCAAAGCAGCCGATGACTCGAAAAGCGTGGTCATGTCGACTCTAAATGTGGAGGGGAAAAACGGAAGGAGCCGGACAAAAAATCCACTACACACCGTACCAGGTACTCATTTCAGGCCGAGCCGACCTAGTGGAGGGGAACCCCGTTCAGACACCCGGTTATTGGCCGCGCGAGCGGGAAGTCAACGGGGAAGCAATCTCTTGCCGGGTTCGCGTGCGCTAACCGCTGCACCTCCGCTCTCTCCTCCCCCCTCCCCCCCCCAACCCCCAAGCGATGGACGCGTGCAAATTCACGGTGGAGCGAGGGGGGGTGACGCAATTGCCGCGGCCTCTCTCAGGCGTGGCAGTTGATGTCACCACCATCATCATTATCGGAGGTGGAGGAGGAGGTGGTGGTGGTGTTGGCACAGAAGTCACCCAACGTTTTTGCCGTCAAAGCGATTCGAACAAGTTCCAACCGACACATCCCCGCAAAACACCTTTGATCTCCACACTTTCGGTAAAGTCACGTGGGTAGAAAATAAAATAAATCAATCACGACGTTTCGATTGCAACACAAGCAATCATGGTTACCGAAAGAAGCAAAGAGTATGGATTCCTGCAGTCGCGAAAGCTTCAAACCTTTGCTCACAGCGCTTGGGAACGAGCGCCGACAGTTACGCACCGTAACACAACCCCGGCTCATATTCTTTGGTTCTTTCGGTAAAGTCACGTATAAAGGTAAAATAATAAATTAAATAATAGCATACGACGTTTCGATCACAACACAAGCAATCATCATCAGGTATAATGAAATAGCGACATAAAATCTAACCAGAAAACTATAGGCAGACATATAAGCAGACAGATATCACCAAGATGCATAGAGAGAGCAACACAGGTACAGAGAGGGGTGATCGTCCAAAATTAAGATTGAACCCCGGCCCGCCCCCCACCACCCCAAACAAGCTGGGGGGAGGGCGAGTGGTGAGAAACGAAGCCCCCCCCCCCAAAGCCGGCGAGCGAACCACCACGCCCCGTCACGCCTGACCCAGGAGGCTCAGCAGGTCTGCGAGCCTGACCGGCGCACGCGAGCGGGGCGACCGACCGACTGCTGCCACATGTGACACGGGCGACACAACGCGGGGGGAGGGGGGGAGGGGGGGACGCGGGGGGGGGGGCACCTCGGGCAGGCGCGAGATGAAGTCGAAGGCGTTGGCCTCGTGCGCCGCTCGCTCTACGTCGGCGTCGCTGGCGTCCTGGCGCCCGTGCCGGATGTTCTCGCCGATGGTGGCGGCGAAGAGCACCGGCTCCTGGCTCACGACGCCGATGTGCTCGCGCAGCCAGCGCACGCCCAGCGAGCGCACGTCGCGACCGTCCACCAGCACCTGCGAGGGGGGAAGTTGGGGGGGGGGTGCGGGGGGTGAGTCACGTGGAGAGAGGCGCAGCCCTGCAAGGCCGCCCCGATCAACGCTGCCACTGCTGGTGCCGGACAGGACCACGCCAGCGAGCAAGAGACTTCGCGCCAGCTGACAGGATCACACCAGCTGACAGGACCACACCAGCTGACAGGACCAACCGCTGAACCACCGTTAAACACACACATACACACACGTGCACACACAAAAATACAAAGATCCCCCTGTACAGCCTGTAACAGACTGTAGGGGCAAGTGCTGTCAGCGAGTAGCAGCACCTATGAAGGCCGGCACGGCACACGAGGGGGGTAGGTGGCCAGCACCACGCCCGGCCGTCTTTGTCTCTCCAGTGGCGATGTTTACTACACCGCACCAGGTACTCATTCAAGGCCGAGTCGACCTAGGGCAGGGCCCAGGACCGGCTCAGATAATCGTCACTGGTGTTGGCCGCGAGCGGAAATCGAACCCGGGTCGCCGGGTTCGTAGCGCAGCGCGCTAACCGCTACCACCACCGCTCCCCGACACACGTGCACACGCGCACACGCACGCACCTCGCCAGCGCCGGGGTCGTAGAACCTCTGCAGCAACTGGATGGTGGTGCTCTTGCCGCAGCCACTGCTGCCCACCAGGGCGATCGTCTTGCCGCTCTCCACCTCCAAGTTCAGCCCCTTGAGGATCTGCGGGCCCCACGGTAGCAAACCCTTGAATATGACCTCTCACCGTCCCACGCAATCCCAGCAAGATCCCCGCGCAATCTCTCACAACTCCGATGGGATCCCTCACGCAATGATTTACAGCTACTCGCAATCCCATTAGAAGCCAGTCGTAATGCCATAGAATCCCCCTGGAATCCCTCAATCCCACACAATCGCTCACAATCCCACACAATATCATACAGTCCAACAGAATATAGCCGCAATCCCACACAATCCCATAAAATCCCTCAATCCCACACAATCTCATACAATCCCACACAATCCCATAGAATCCCTCACAATCCCACACAATCCCATAAAATCCCTCAATCCCACACAATCCCACACAATCCAACAGAATCTAGCCGCAATCCCACACAATCTCATTAAATCCCTCAATCCCACACAATCCCATTAAATCCCTCAATCCCACACAATCTCATACAATCCCACACAATCCCATAGAATCCCTCACAATCTCACACAATCCCTCAATCCCACACAATCCCATAGAATCCCTCACAATCCCATAAAATCCCTCAATCCTACACAATCCCACACAATCCAACAGAATCTAGCCGCAATCCCACACAATCTCATTAAATCCCTCAATCCCACACAATCCCATTAAATCCCTCAATCCCACACAATCTCATACAATCCCACACAATCCCATAGAATCCCTCACAATCTCACACAATCCCTCAATCCCACACAATCCCATAAAATCCCATAAAATCCCTCAATATCCCATGAGGATCTCACGTTGGTGATGAGGTGGAGGCACTGATGCAGTGTCAGCGATGGGGTGGTCTTGACGAGGTGGAGATGGTGATAAAGAGACGGTGATAAGGCGGTGAGCGGCGGGGGTGGTGAGCGGCGGGGGTGGTGAGCGATGGGGTGGTGAGCGACGGGGCGGTGAGTGATGAGTGATGGGGTGGTGAGTGGTGAGTGACGGAGGTGGTGAGCGACGGAGGTGGTGAGCGATGTGGTGGTGAGTGATGAGCGGCGGGGTGGTGAGTGGTGAGCGACGGAGGTGGTGAGCGATGGGGTGGTGAGCGGCAGGGTGGCGAGTGATGAGTGATGGGGTGGTGAGTGGTGAGCGATGTGGTGGTGAGTGGTGAGCGACGGAGGTGGTGAGCGATGGGGTGGTGAGCGGCAGGGTGGCGAGTGATGAGTGATGGGGTGGTGAGTGGTGAGCGGCAGGGTGGTGAGTGATGAGTGATGGGGTGGTGAGTGGTGAGCGGCAGGGAGGTGAGTGATGAGTGATGGGGTGGTGAGTGGTGAGCGACGGGGGTGGTGAGTGGTGAGCGACGGGGGTGGTGAGTGATGAGCGATGGGGTGGTGAGTGGTGAGTGATGGGGTGGTGAGTGACGTGGCGGTGAGCGACGGGGTGGTGAGTGATGAGTGATGGGGTGGTGAGCGACGGGGTGGTGAGTGGTGAGCGGCGGGGTGGTGAGCGATGGGGTGGGGAGTGGTGAGCGACGGGGTGGTGAGTGATGAGCGACGTGGTGGTGAGCGACGGGGTGGTGAGTGGTGAGCGGCGGGGGTGGTGAGTGACGAGTGATGGGGTGGTGAGCGACGGGGTGGTGAGTGGTAAGCGGCGGGGGTGGTGAGCGACGGGGTGGTGAGTGGTGAGCGGCGGGGTGGTGAGTGGTGAGCGGCGGGGTGGTGAGTGGTGAGTGATGGGGTGGTGAGTGACGTGGCGGTGAGCGACGGGGTGGTGAGTGATGAGTGATGGGGTGGTGAGCGACGGGGTGGTGAGTGGTGAGCGGCGGGGTGGTGAGCGACGGGGTGGTGAGTGGTGAGCGACGGGGTGGTGAGTGATGAGCGACGTGGTGGTGAGCGACGGGGTGGTGAGTGGTGAGCGGCGGGGGTGGTGAGTGACGAGTGATGGGGTGGTGAGCGACGGGGTGGTGAGTGGTGAGCGGCGGGGGTGGTGAGCGACGGGGTGGTGAGTGGTGAGCGGCGGGGTGGTGAGTGGTGAGCGGCGGGGTGGTGAGTGGTGAGCGGCGGGGTGGTGAGTGGCGAGCGGCGGGGTACCTGCACGTCAGGCCGGGAGGGGTAAGAGAAGTGGATGTTTCTGAATGAGATGTCGCCTTTGATCCGCTCCGGCTTGAACCCATCATCGGAACTGCTGTCTATGGGGCGGGGCTGTGCGTACAACCATCATCAGCATCATCAGCATCATCATCATCATCAGCAGTCGTCGTCACTATCATCGTAGTCATCATCGTCATAGCAAAAGCTCTGGGCCGGTTTTGACATTCGGTGCCTCATCGTCATCGTCGTCATCAGAGGCAGGCAGGAGGCTTGCCCGAAACCGATGCTGGTGAACTATTATTGGTTGAACCAGGTGGCCCGCGATGCGTCTATGTTGAACTTATTTTGCACCGCACTAATCAAAGGTGCGGGAGAAGGACAACCAAAACTAACACACACACAAAAAGCAGTTTTAAAGAGACGAGTTTGCAATCGAGATCATGGTGATTTTTAAGTGCATAGCCTCCCAATGGCTTCCTAATATCGGAAGGGGAAGAGCGTTCCAGACGGCCACAGAAGCAGCGCATCTGAAAGCCGCCGCTACTGATGCTCGGGGGGAATGATCGGAGTTTGCGCGATGGTTCGCAAGCTCGCAGACACCAGTTTAGGCACAGTGGTTCTCTCCAACCTTTACTTCTTGCAGCATTGCAACATCTTTTTTGGTTGTCAATCATTCAAGACAATGTGCAATGTTAAATAAAAACGTGTAGGGTCTGATGAAACAAAGTACGCTGCAACTTACATGCCCCATGCTTAATTTGTGTTTTCGATGAATTACCTTCTAACGAAATTAATCTGTCCATGTCTCGCACACCGCCACCCCCCTCCCCCCCCCCCCCCCCCCCAGTGCTGGTGGATTGAACTGTGCGTGTGTGTATATACCTGGCGCGGTGTGTAAACGTCGCCACGAGGGAGACAAAGGCGGCCTGGCGTGGTGCTGGCCACCCACCCCCTTGTGTGCCGTGCCGGCCTTAAATAGGTGCCGCTCGCTAACAGCACTTGCCCCAACAGCATGTTAAGGCTACACGGGGGATCTTTATCTTTGCGAGTGGGTGAGTAAGTGGGCGAGTAATTGGGCGAGTGATTGGGCGAGTGAGTAGGTGAGTGTGCCGTTTCGGCCTTCGTAGGTGCCGCTCGCTAACAGCACTTGCCCCAACAGCATGTTAAGGCTACACGGGGGATCTTTATCTTTGCGAGTGGGTGAGTGAGTGGGCGAGTAATTGGGCGAGTGATTGGGCGAGTGAATAGGTGAGTGTGCCGTTTCGGCCTTCGTAGGTGCCGCTCGCTAACAGCACTTGCCCCAACAGCATGTTAAGGCTACACGGGGGATCTTTGTCTTTGCGAGTGGGTGAATGAGTGAGTGGACGAGTAATTGGGCGAGTGATTGGGCGAGTGATTGGGCGAGTGATTGGGCGAGTGAGTAGGTGAGTGTGCCGTGTCGGCCTTCATAGGTGCCGCTCGCTAACAGCACTTGCCCCAACAGCAAGTGTTTTTTTTGTGTGTATGTAGAGGCCACGGATATCTGTGTCGGTGGCGTCACCTTGTCTAGGATCTGGAAGATGGTGAACGCCGCACCGCGGGCGTTGGAGAAGCTCTCCAGGTTAGGAGCTCCTTGTCCCAGCGAGAAGGCGCCAATGAGGACGGAGAAAAACACCTGCAGAAGGCAAAAGGCAAAAGATTCACAGCGTATGCCCTGTGACCTTGGTAATCCAAGGTGGTGGTGCGGTGGTGGCGGTGGCGGTTGGAGGTGTTGTGACGGTGCATTGTGACCTTGGTAATCCAAGTTCAAGTTCATGTATTAGGTGTAGCCCTGTGAGCCATTCGGCTCTTGAAATCGGGTACAACCGCAACAAACAAAAAACGAAAACATGAACAAGAATACATCTTATAGTGACTATGCGTAAACAGAAGATCCAAGAAAAGACAGCAAAATATTGCAGAAAAAGCACCGTACACTAACGTTGTGTGCAAAAATCCCAGTGGGATGCAAGTTAAACAACAACAACAACAACCACAAGACAACTTAGATTAAGGCCATCAGTCCAACTCTGTACTACAACAAACAAACATGACCAAACCAAAAAACTTTTCGAAAATCACCAAAATAAAGCCATAAAAGCAATGAAACCGTGTAGGTCATAGGAACTGTGACCGAATTTTCACAATAAACGACGTAAGCAACATGCATTACCAAACTCTGCAGCCAAGGTGGTGCGGCGGTGGTGGCGGATAGAGGTGTTGTGATGGTGCATTGTGACCTTGGCAATCCAAGGTGGTGTGGCGGTGGTGGTGGCGGTGGTGGTGGCGGTGGTGGATGGAGGTGTTGTGACGGTGCATTGTGACCTTGGTAATCCAAGGTGGTGGTGCGGTGGTGGTGGCGGTGGTGGTGTGACGGTGCATTGTGACCTTGGTAATCCAAGGTGGTGGTGCGGTGGTGGTTGGAGGTGTTGTGATGGTGCATTGTGACCTTGGCAATCCAAGGTGGTGCGGTGGTGGCGGTGGTGGTGGTGACGGTTGGAGGTGTTGTGACGGTGCATTGTAACCTTGGCAATCCGAGACTGGTGGGAGCGGTGGTGCTGCGGTGCGACTCACGATGAGCACGCGTCCGATGGTGTAGTTCTCGGGCTCTTCAATCACCAGCTTGGTGCCGTACCAGAAGGCGAGGGCGTACGAGCCGAAGATGATGAACTGCGTGAGTCCGAACGACAGGTTGGTGGCGACGGCCTTCTTCATGCCCATCGTGCTGGCGTCGTGCAGGTTCTTGTTGTACCTGCGGCGCCAGCGGCGACGAGCGCAGGAACGGGAGGTGGGGAGCGTCGCGGTGAGCGTGGTGGTGAGTGTGTTGGTGAGCGTGGCGGTGAGCGTGGTGGTGAGTGTGTTGGTGAGTGTGGCGGTGAGCATCGCAGTGAGCGTGGCGGTGAGCGTGGTGGTGAGCGTCGCGGTGAGCGTGGTGGTGAGTGTGTTGGTGAGTGTGGCGGTGAGCATCGCAGTGAGCGTGGCCGTGAGCGTGGTGGTGAGCGTCGCGGTGAGCGTGGTGGTGAGTGTGTTGGTGAGTGTGGCGGTGAGCATCGCAGTGAGCGTGGCGGTGAGCGTGGTGGTGAGCGTCGCGGTGAGCGTGGTGGTGAGTGTGTTGGTGAGTGTGGCGGTGAGCATCGCAGTGAGCGTGGCGGTGAGTGTGTTGGTGAGTGTGGCGGTGAGCATCGCAGTGAGCGTGGCGGTGAGCGTGGCGGTGAGCGTGGCCGTGAGTGTATCATGGTGAGCGTGGCGGTGAGCGTGGCGGTGAGCGTGGCGGTGAGCGTGGCGGTGAGCATGGCGGTGAGCGTGGCAGTGAGTGTATCATGGTGAGCGTGGCAGTGAGCGTGGCGGTGAGCGTGGCGGTGAGCATGGCGGTGAGTGTGGCGGTGAGCGTGGCGGTGAGTGTATCATGGTGAGCGTGGTGGTGAGCGTGGCGGTGAGCGTGGCGGTGAGCATCGCAGTGAGCGTGGCGGTGAGCATGGCGGTGAGCGTGGCGGTGAGCGTGGCGGTGAGCATGATGGTGAGCGTCGCAGTGAGTGTATCATGGTGAGCGTGGCGGTGAGCGTGGCGGTGAGCGTGGCGGTGAGCATGGCGGTGAGCGTGGCGGTGAGCGTGGCGGTGAGCATGGCGGTGAGCGTGGCGGTGAGCGTGGCGGTGAGTGTATCATGGTGAGCGTGGCGGTGAGCGTGGCGGTGAGCGTGGCGGTGAGCGTGGCGGTGAGCATGGCGGTGAGCGTGGCAGTGAGTGTATCATGGTGAGCATGGCGGTGAGCGTGGCGGTGAGCATGGCGGTGAGCATGGCGGTGAGCGTGGCGGTGAGTGTATCATGGTGAGCGTGGCGGTGAGCGTGGCGGTGAGCGTGGCGCCGTTCCTTTGCATCTCTCCCAATGACAACGATGACAACAACGAGGGTGGGTGGGGGGAGGGGCTGTGGACTGGACACCGTGCAGGAGAAGGCCGATGGGGGGGGAGGTGGAGGCAGGAGGCAAGCTCCTCGGTGTATCGTGACCTCTCTGTGTATCGTGACCTTAGTAATCTAAGCGTGGGGGGGGGGGGGTGCTGGTGGGGTTCGTTGGGACCAGGCGGTCTTCATTGGGGGGTGGAGGGGAGCGGGGCGGGGGGGTAACGGAATCAGAACAAGGACCAATGAGGCACGCCGTGACGTACGTCGTTGCGTACGCCGTGACGTACGTCATTGGAACGGGAAAGGGTTAATAGAGCAATGGCGTATTTGCTAAATTACGTAAAAAGGGGGCGACGTAAATCAACGTTACGGAGGGGGGCGGTGGGGGGGACAGTGGTGGGGGGGAGCAGTGATGGGGGGGGGCAGTGGTGGGCGGTGGTGGCGGGGGGGGTGCCCGTGTGCTCACCTGTCGACGGCTTTCTGCTGACCTCCGAAGGCCACCACCGTCCTGATGGCCATCAGGACCTCCTCCGCCACAGCTCCGGCCTTGGCGTACGCGGTCAGTTCGGCTGTCGTCAGCGAGCCCAGCAGCTGGTGTACGCGGACACACACACGCACACACGCGCACACACACAAAGACAAAGGTCACCCATAGAGGCAGACAGACCTGCTGGGGCAAGTGCTGTTAGCGGGCGTCTTATGAAGGCCGGCACGGTGCACGATAGCACGTGGCCACGTTTGTGTGTGTGTGTGTGTGTACGTTGAACTTGTTCCGCACCCTACGTAGCCAACTGTGCCAAATCGCTACTGGGGCACAGTTGGAGCAAGCAGTCGCCTAACAACAACAACAACAACGGAGGGTTAGAGGAGTGAGCGCGCGAGCTCATCCACCCAATCTAGCAGGCGAGCGAACGAGCCATCGGGCGAGCGATCGATCGAGCGGGCGAGCGAGCGAACGGTCGACGAATGAGCGATTGAGCGAGCGAGCGATCGATCGAGCGGGCGAGCGAACGGTCGACGAATGAGCGAGCGAGCGAGCGAGCGGGCAGTCAAGGCGTGGCCCACGCCGTGACCGCCAGCCCCGTTCGCCGACGGAGCGGCGCCGTTCTCACCTTGGCGAGCATCGAGGCGCAGATGGCGAGCAGCGGGCTCACGGAGAGGATGACGAGCGTGAGCTTCCAGCCGTGGGCGAAGCCGATGACGAAGCCCACCACGAAGGAGGAGAAGAACTGCATGAACAGGCTGACCTTGTCGCCGATGCCAACGTTGATCGTGTTGATGTCGCTGCGAGACGGGAGGATGGCAGAGAGACAGAGAGAGAGACGGAGGTGGGGGTGGGAGAGGGGATGAGTCACGGTGCCGTGAACAGGATGGTGCTTGTCACCCCCGCAAGCTTTCTGTGACCGGTACCGGCGGTGTCAAGGAGGAGGTTGTTGAAGGAAGGACGCTGCTGCTGCTGCTACTGGGCCGTTGGAGGCAGTCGCCCTTCAGCAACAGCGGAGGGCAGAGGAACGACGCTCACAACAACGAGCGGAGCGCCGGGCGTGCGTGTACTTGACTCCATGTGTATGTGACTCCGCGTGTACGTGTGCGCCCGACTCCGCGCGCGCGTGTGCGGTGCTCACTCGGTGAGTCGCGAGCCCAGCTCGCCGATCTGCGTCGTGTCGAACCAGCTCATCTCCTGGTGGAGGATTGCGCGGAAGAACTGGTGGCGGATGCGTTGGCACTGGCGCGCCGCCGCCAGCATCCAGCACGACACCTGCAGCGTCGCGGACACCAGCACGGCGCAGCCGATGGCCACGTAGTACCACGCGTACCTGCGCAGGCCACGGCGGGAGGGGTCAGAGTTCAGGAGGCGAGAGGAGCAATGCTCGATCCCCGCTCTCCTCCCGCATTCTCCACCGTTGCCGAAGCTATCTCCATCGCACCCCGGCCACAACACCCCCCGCCCCTCCCCCCCCTCACTTTGCGGCCGACTCCCAGATGGCGGCGAGGTGGCGCCCGCCGGACCGTCGTCTCCGCGAAACTTTGTGACGCTACGGCGTGCCCGCCCGGGGTCGGGCTGCGAGCGACGTGTTCAATCCACTGCCGGACTAATAGCCCTCCCCACCCCAAGAGCTGCCGTGGCCTCCGTCAGCCTCCGCCGTCGGCTTGCGCCCTCCGACAAGATAAAAACTGAGCTTTGAAAAGGGAGGAACCCTTGCGCTGCTTGATCATCATCATTATTACCATTACGAGTCGTAGTATTATCATAACCACTTGGAACGTCTGTGGTGTTGGCTCATGGTGGGCATCACTTTGGAAGGTGCTGCTGCCACCGCTGCGGTTCCTGTTCCTGCTGCTACTGCTGCTGTTCCTGCTGCCACCACTGCTGTTCCTGTTGCTGCTGCTGATCCTGCTGCCACCGCTGCGGTTCCTGTTCCTGCTGCTACTGCTGCTCCTGCTGCCACCACTGCTGTTCCTGTTGCTGCTGCTGATCCTGCTGCCACTGCTGCTGTTCCTGCTCCTGCTACTGCTGCTGTTCCTGTTCCTGCTACTGCTGCTGATCCTGCTCCTGCTACTGCTGTTCCTGCCACTGCTGCTGATCCTGCTGCCACTGCTGCTGTTCCTGCTCCTGCTACTGCTGTTCCTGCCACTGCTGCTGTTCCTGTTCCTGCCACTGCTGCTGTTCCTGTTCCTGCTACTGCTGCTCCTGCCACTGCTACTGCTGTTCCTGCCACTGCTGCTGATCCTGCTGCCACTGCTGCTGTTCCTGTTGCTGCTACTGCTGCCGATCCTGCTGCCATGCCTGCTGTTCCGGTTCCTGCTGCTGCTACTGCTGCTGCTACTGCTGCTGTTCCTGCTGCCACTGCTGCTGTTCCGGTTCCTGCTACTGCTACTGCTGCTATTCCTGCTGCCACTGCTGCTGTTCCGGTTCCTGCTACTGCTACTGCTGCTGTTCCTGCTGCCACTGCTGCTGTTCCTGCTGCTGGTACTGCTGTTCCTGTTCCTGCTACTGCTGCTGCTCCTGCTGCCACTGCTGCTGTTTCTGCTGTTGCTACTGCTCCTGCTGTTTCTACTGCTGTTACTGCTCTGGCAGCTACTCCTGCTACCCGTTGCGCTTGCTGCTGCTGCACCACAATGATGATGATGATGACGGTGATAACGATAACCGTGACAAAGATGTCGTTGGTGACGAAGATGATGATGGCGGTGATTATCATTGAGACCCATGACAATGATGATGACAATCATGACGAAGATGATGACCATGATGAGGATGATGACCGTGACATTGACCAAAACGATGATGACGACGACGATGATAACAAGGACGACGATGATGACGACGATGATGACCATGATGACGAAGACGACGACAACGACAATGACAACGACGACGATCATGATGACGATGACGATCATGATCATGATGACGATGACGACGCAGGACAAGGGCGACGACGATCCTCACTTCGACATCTCGGCCTGCAGCAAGTCGCCCATTTCGGTGGCGCTCAGGTTTGCCGACGGGAAGGTGACGTTCGTGTCGTTGGCACCGCCGGGCACCGTGGCTGTGGCACAGGACAGGGCGCGCGCAGAAGCCACCGAGAATTGATTACACGGAGACTCCACGCGGATAACACACAAAGACAAAGATCCCCCGTGTAGCCTCAACAGACTGCTGGGGCAAGTGCTGTTAGTGAGTGGCACCTACGAAGGCCGGCACGGCACACGAGGGGGATGGGTGGCCAACACCGTGCCCGGCCGCCTTTGTCTCCCCAGTAGCGATGTTTACACACCGCACGGGGTACTCATTTGAGGCCGAGTCGACCAAGGGGAGGCCCAGGACCGGTTCAGATAATCATTACCGGCGTTGGCCGTGCGCGAGGATCGAACTCGCGTCGCCGGGTTTGTAGCGCACCGCAGCGCTAACCGCTGCACCACCGCTCCCCACACGTACAGGCACACACACACACGCACTCACAGGCACCGAGCGAGCGATGGAGAGAGGAGGTTTCACATCGTCTCTCTCCGGGCTTTGATCACCGGATCGCCTCTGCCGGCATCACGGCGTCACGGACGCCTCCACATGAGCAGAGAGCGGCCCGCAGAAGCGGATTTCACAGAGCTACCTCCGAGATCCCTTCATCACGTGACGACACTGGTCCCACTTGCCATGTTCGTGGTTCTTTCGGTACAGTCACGTAGATAGAAATACAAATAATAGAATAAGATACAAAATAAGGCGGTCTTTTTCTTTTTTCTTTTTCTCTCCGCCTGATGAAGACCGCTAGTGTTGCGATCGAAACGTCGTGGGCTTTTTGCTTTCATTATTATTTAATTTAATTTTTATTTATTTCTATCTTGGTGACTTTACCGAAAGAACCAAGAATATTAATTCCTGCCGTCACGAAAGCTTTAAGTCAAAATTTAACCCACTTCCCATGTTAGAGAATGACCTGCAGGAGTAGATATCACCACAGAGCTACCTCCGATATCCCTTCTTCAAGTGTCACTCGAGCGAGTCTTTGAGAGTCCGGTTCAATCACAGGGGGCCAGAGTCGCTGCGGCCCCCCACAGTCGCGCCAAAAGAGCGTCACGGCAGCGTCAGACCGACGACGTCGAGACGGAGAGAACGAGAGGCAAAGAGAGCGAATCTGGACACCTGTGAAAAAGAGCTTCATAGGTCATCGGATTTCCTCCGGTCTGAATAAAGGTCGTGAATCGCGAGGTCGTGACCCCCCCCCCCCTTCCCACCGTTGATGCCGCTGCGGACGAAGCTGTCGGTCATTTGACCGAACACGATGATCATGAGCGGGAGGGCTCCTCCGTGACCCATCGCAGCCACCAGGCCCACGATCATGAGGGCCACGTCCAGGCCGTCGGCGAACCGGAACTACGGGCACCGGGACAACGGCACGGAGACATCGACACGGAGACATCGACACGGAGACATCGACACGGAGACACGGACACAGAGACATTGACACAGAGACATCGATACGGAGACATCGACACGGAGACATCGACACGGAGACAACGGCACGGAGACATCGACATGGAGACATCGACACAGAGACATCGATACAGAGACATCGACACGGAGACACGGACACATTGATAGAGAAACATCGACACGGAGACATCAACAGAGACAACGGCATGGAGACACGGACACGAACACATTGATAGAGCAACATCGACACGGAGACATCGACACCGAAACATCGACACGGATATCGATATGGAGACATCAACAGAGACAACGGCATGGAGACACGGACACATTGATAGAGAAACATCGACACACAATGACGCGGAGGCAACGACTCAGGTAGAAGCAATGTTTTACCCGTGTGTGTATAATAACTACACGTATGTAAATGTACGTGCGGCGTAGTGATTATAATTACCACTTCCAGTACGCCGACTGTCTGCTTTGGCTTCTTGTCCTTCTTGTCTCTGATTGGGGGGGGGAGAGAGATGGGGGGGGGGGAGATGGGGGGGGATGGGGGGGAGGAACAGAGATGGGATGGGGGGGGGTAGAGAGATGGGGGGGGGGGGGGGAGAGAGAGATGGGGGGGAGAGATGGAGGGGGGATAGAGAGAGATGGGGGGGGGAGAGAGATGGGGGGGGGGGGGTAGAGAGATGGGGGGGGGGGGAGAGAGATGGAGGGGGGAGAGAGAGAGATGGGGGGGGAGATGAGGGGGGAGAGAGATGGGGGGGATAGAGAGATGGGGGGGGAAGAGAGATGGGGGGGGAGGGGTGGAGAGAGAGATGGGGGGGTGGAGAGAGAGATGGGAGGGGACAGATATGAGGAGGGGGGGGTAGAGAGATGGGGTGGGAAGATGGGGGGTGGAGATGGGGGGGGGGAGAGAGATGGGGGGGGGAGAGAGATGGGGGGGAAGAGAGATAAGGGGGGGGGGGGGGAGAGATGCAATTTAAATTGCTGTGACAGCTTTAGATTCAGCGCAGGCTGGAGGCGTCTTATCAAGTAACAGACCACACACACATTGCAATTCCTTACAGGCGAGTCACATGCCAAGTGGCTGATTACAGATCTATTACATAATTGCATTCACCCCCACCCACACCTCCGCCTCCGATCTCGAATCCTGATGGGGTTCAACAATGATGACGTAATCCTGCACTATTTAAGACCGCGATCAGTTCACTACTCTGGCAAATCGCCCGACGATGCTGGGTGTAATCTCCAGCGAAACGTCGTACTACTCAAACATTTTTCAATGTTGTGGATCCACTCTTCAACACACCGGTGGGCTAAAGTAGTGAACTATTTTGTCTTTTGTGAACGTGACACTTTTTTTTACTGATTGGCCGTCTCGGATGGTGGAGGGTTGCGACACATTTATAAATAACGCGATCTAACCCAAAAACCTTTATTTAAATAATACTGGTCGCGAAAGCCTGCTACGTGTTAAAGTTGCGGTCTAAGTTTATTTTTTGCGCTTTGCTTACCCTTCCCTGTACTTTGCCCTCCCCATCGTTGTTGTATTGTTGTTGTTGTGTTGTATTGTTGTTATTATTGTATTGTGTTGTATTGTTGTATTGTTGTTGTATTGTTGTTATTATTGTATTGTTGTATTGTTGTTGTATTGTATTGTATTGTTGTTATTATTGTATTGTGTTGTATTGTAGTTGTTGTATTGTATTGTTGTTATTATTGTGTTGTATTGTAGTTGTTGTATTGTATTGTTATTATTGTATTGTGTTGTATTGTATTGTAGTTATTGTATTGTTGTTGTATTGTATTGTTGTTATTATTGTATTGTATTGTTGTTGTTGTATTGTTGTTGTATTGTAACACTCTGCCCCGCCATCCTGACTGGACACTCGTCAAAAAAAAAAAGGCTGCATAGCGCACAGAAAAATCTCGAGCATAAAAAAAAATCGGCATTCAGATTCTTCGTCTTCCACCGCTCAATGTCCTCCCCCGATGGAGGTCGCAAACGGGTTTTGATTCCTTACCCGTACCCGACCGGGTACGGGTAGCCGGGTATCGGGTAGGGTACGGGTATCGGGTAGCCGTTTGCGACCCTGGTGCGGCCGGGTACGGGTACGGGTTGGCCGCGAGTCACTGGTGAGTAGCCGTTTGTCACTCATTTCGGGTAGGGAAAGGGTAGCCGTACCCATTTGCGACCCTGGTGCGGCCGGGTACGGGTAAGGAATCAAAACCCGTTTGCGACCTCTGGGTCACAGCGATAGGCCGCCCCTCATTGTCGCCGCTGAACCGTTCTGACGTCACAGAAGCCCAGCCTCACCCCCCCCCTCCACCCCCCAATGAAAGAACCGTGGACTCACTTGTTCGCCTTCTTTGTGACCTCCTCCTTTGTGACCTCCTCTGGCGCGTCTCGCTCGAAGCCGGCGTTGTGGAAGCCATTCTTGACGCTACCTGCACGCAACGGACGACACGCAAAAAAAAGGGAGGCACCGCGCCCCCCACCCCAGCGCTGTCAGTGAGCGCCTATTGAGGCCGATTGGCACAGTTGGCGAAGTACGGTGCGAAAGAAGTTCAACGTACACGCACACACACAACGCGCGGTTAACATGCCAATGTTGACCCACCGTTGGTCCGACGTTGGTTTAACGTTGACCCAACGTCGCCCCAACGCTCCACGTTTACTGCGGTTTGCCAACCCCACCAGGTAGGTGCTCATCCGAAGCTGAGTCGACCTAGGGGAGAGTGGGAATCTAACTCGGGTCGTTGGCTTCAGAGGCACTACGAAGGCCGGCACGGCACACGAGGGGGTGGGTGGCCGATGTTTACACTCCACACCAGGTACTCATTTCAGGCTGAATCGACCTAGGGGAGGCCCAGGACCCGTTCAGACAATCGTCACAGGTGTTGGTAGCCACGAGCAGGAATCAAAGTCGGGTCGCCGGCTCCACAGCTAAATGCGCTAACCACTGCGCCACCTCTCCCAACATGTGTACATGTACACATACGACACACACACACAAACACAGTCGTGTATGCACGGTACACACGCACACACAAAGGTTATTAGAAAGGCCATTGGAGGCAAAAATGCTTTGTGTGTGTTTAGTTTCTTGTCTTTCCCCCGCAACCTCCGATTAGCTCGGCTGTCTACGGACGGTGCGAAAGACGTTCAACGTGTACAAAGATAAAGATCTCCCGTATAACCTTAACAGACTGTACGGGCAAGTGCTGTTAACGAGCACCTATAAAGGCCGGCACGGCACACGAGGGGGTGGGTGGCCAGCAACCACGCCCGACCGCCTTTGTCTCCCCAGCAGCGATGTTTACACACCGCACTAGGTACTCATTTGAGTCCGAGTCGACCTAGGGAGGCCCAGGACCGGTTCAGACAATCGTCACTGGCGGTGTTGGCCGTGAGCGGGAATCGAACCCGGGTCGCCAGGTTCGTAGCGCAGCGCTGCGCTAACCGCTACACCACCGCTCCCCGCACACACGCACACACACACGCAGGTTAAATAAACGCCGCACGCAGAAAGAGAGCGTAGCCTTACGCCACCTGACCGCGGCTCCGGGTTAAGCGATGACACCAGGTCCCCGGGCATCTCACGGCGACGCCGCCGTCAATCCGCCGCTGGACTAGAGCCTCGCGCGTTATTTGACCGTACTTCACCATGCTGGTCAGTGCGGGTTTGGCGAAGACGGGCGGCGCAGAGAGTACAGCACAACACCAATGGGGGCGGGGAGAGGGGGGGGTGCTACCCTGTCCTCTGCTGCCCGCCAAAGCATCCCAGCAGCAGCAGCAGCAGGAGCCTATAGCATCTGGCATGCACGGTGGTCACCCCATCCGAGCACTGTCCAGGCTCAACCCCGGCTTGACTTCGTGATGGTGCGATTTATTTACGATCATGCCTCACCGAGTACCAAGGCCTACTTCCCAGGAGGCTGCTGCTGCTGCTGCTGCCGCTGCTGCTGCCGCTGTTGCTGCTGCTGCTGCTACTGCCGCTGCTACTGCTGCTGCTACTGCTGCTGCTACTGCCGCTGCTGCCGCTGCTACTGCTGCTGCTGGCAGTACTGCATTGGGGACGTTTGGCCGACTGGAGCGACGGATGAGCGTTTGGGATTTCGCGTGGGCACCGCCAAAAAACGAAGAGCCCGGTGGGAGCGTTTACCTCGTTCGGGAATGAAGGTTGGCGTCAGATCAAATCCGTCGCTCTGCTTCCCCTTCCCGGCCATCTCGGCGGCTGCGGGTGGAGGACGATCCTGGGGTAGGTGGATTCCTGGAGAGAGAGAAAAAGAAGAAAGTCACGTAGGTAAAAAAAATCAAAATTAATGAAAGTAGAATTAAAATAAAGTAAAAATCACGACGTTTCGGAGGCAACACAAGCTTCCGTCTTCAGGTGGAACCGTCACAGCCCGATAGCTGTATCAAGTGATACAGCTATCGTGCTGTGAAAAAAATTAAATTAATGAAAGTAAAATAAAAATAAAATAAAAATCACGACGTTTCGGAGGCAACACAAGCTTCCGTCTTCAGGGGGAACCGTCACAGCCCGATAGCTGTATCAAGTGATACAGCTATCGTGCTGTGAAAAAAATTAAATTAATGAAAGTAAAATAAAAATAAAATAAAAATCACGACGTTTCGGAGGCAACACAAGCTTCCGTCTTCAGGTGGAACCGTCACAGCCCGATAGCTGTATCAAGTGATACAGCTATCGTGCTGTGAAAAAATTAAATTAATGAAAGTAAAATAAAAATAAAATAAAAATCACGACGTTTCGGAGGCAAGACAAGCTTCCGTCTTCAGGGGGAACCGTCACAGCACGATAGCTGTATCAAGTGATACAGCTATCACAACGCTTGATACAGCAATCGTGCTGTGACGGTTCCACCTGAAGACGGAAGCATGTGTTGCCTCCGAAACGTCGTGATTTTATTTTTATTTTACTTTTATTAATTTTAAATTTTTTACCTACGTGACTTTACCGAAAAAACCTAAGAATATGAATCCTTGCAGTCACGAAAGCTTCAAATCTAGAGAGAAAGAACAAACGTTGGGGCGGGGTTGGTGGTGGCGGCGGCGGCGTTCGTCCCCGCGGCACGGACCATGAGCGACGGGGGACGCGGTCGTGGCGGGCGCACTGCGGCGAGGAAAGAAAAATGCCACGCCGAGGTGACACACACACAGCAAAGGGAATCTCCTGAGAATCATCTTCTTGGTTCTTTCGGTAAAGTGACGTAGAAGGGAAATAATAAAATAGTAAAAATAAAACATAATAAAATAATTTTATTATATTAAAGTGACGTAGAAGGGAAATAATAAAATAATAAAAATATAACATAATAAAATAAAATAATTTTATTATATTAAAGTCACGTAGAAGGGAAATAATAAAGTAATAAAATAATAAAAATAAAATATAATAAAATAAAATAATTTTATTATGTTGTATTTTTAATAAAAATAAAACATAATAAAATAAAATAATTTTATTATGTTGTATTTTTATTATTTTATTACTTTATTATTTCCCTTCTACGTGGTGACTTTACTGAAAGAACCAAGAAGATGAATCCCTGCAGTCACGGGGGAGGGGAGTGGGGGTGGAGCAGTCGCCTCTCCCCATTCAACACGATGACGTCCACTCGTCGTCGCTTGCAAGGTCACGCACGGCATGTCCGTTTTGGACCTGTGCGCTTAACCGACAACGACGCCGGGGAATGGAATTCAACGGATCTCGTGAACAAACACCAGCTTGTTGTGAAAGAGCCACACGCAGCAAGAACATCTGGGTTTGAACTTCCCACCCTAAACCGCATCCGCTTGACAAAGCTTCAGCGGCAGCACATGCTTGATCCCTGTTGCGCTGGTGGAAAATTTGAAAAATCTCCAGTAGCGTGTGCGACTGTGAGTCACCCAGGGCAGACACGTAGTACAACGTGGAATGACGCAATGGCCCGATCCACAAGCACGAAGGAAAACATCACAGCGGTACACTCCGCTTGCTCCTGATGCGGTTATCTGGCCTGAACACCTGAATGTTAAATTGTAGCCGTTGGTTGATGTAGATCAGCGGTCGGGAACCTATGGCTCGCGAGCCATATATGGCTCTTCCAGTGACGGCATATGGCTCCCAGACAATTTTGAGTTGAAAATAATAATAACAAAAATAAATAAAAAAATCGGTTTGGAACTGATTTTAAAATACTTGTGATATTGTTTAATAATGCTGTGTCATTTTAAAGTAAACAGAAATAAGTTTTGAAGATAAATTTCACGGGTCACGCCTGCATGAAGCTCAACCTCACCACGTACGAACCAGACTACAAGGCAATCAGCAAAACCATGCAGCACCAGAAGTTGCATTAAAAGTAAGACATATTTAATTTATTATACGTTAAAAATACTATATGGCTCTCAATGAAATATATTTAGAGATATTTGGCTTTTATGGCTCTCCCAGTCAAAAAGGTTCCCGACCCCTGATGTAGATGCACATCACACGGAAGAAATAAATGCAAGGAAGGAGGCCGCCGAGTAAACATGGAACGTCGCCGGGCCCAAGTCAGGCCTAACGTTTTCAACCACATCCCGACGTTGGCCCAACGTTGACCCAACGTCGGCCCAACGTCGGTATGTGCCTGCCCACCGGGTTGATGCCATCGGTTGTTCACCGCCGGCCCCAAAGCGTCAGAGTTGCGACGGATGAAGAGTGCATTCACGCGCGGCTGGGAACGAGCAAGGTTCATCGTAAGAGGTTATCTAACGTAATAAGTTATCCATCGTAAGAGGTTATCCATCGTAAGAACAAGGTGATCATCGTAAGAAGTTTCCCCTCGCTCTGTGCGGTGGTAGTCGGCGTAGTAGTAGATTTTTTTCAAAGAATAAAGGGGAGCACGCAGTGAAATTGCGTGGCATCACGGACCACGCGGTCACACCCAACCCACAATGCACTGCACGAGGCGATAGCTGCCTGCCGAGTAGCGTACACACACACATCTATATTGCCAACTATTCAAACTATTTTCTATTATACTTGATACAGATATTTTGCTGTGACGGTTTCACCTGAAGACGGAAGCTTGTGTTGCCTCCGAAACGTCGTGATTTTTATTCTTTTATTTTTATTAATTTTAATTTAATTTTTTACCTACGTGACTTTACCCAAAAAACTAAGAGTATGAATCCTCGCAGTCACGAAAGCTTCAAATCTAGAATTATACAAGGTTTTCGAAAAAGATGGACTCAATTTCAAAGCAGTATATTTCACGATGGCAACATGTTACAATTACACAAAAAGTTACAAACGGTTTAACGAGTTATCAAGTTTTACTAACCATTTTATAAATGTACCCTCCACCTGCTGTACGGACAACATCGAGACGATAGTTGAATTCATCCCAAACGCCTCTCTTCTCACGTTTTCCTCTGAGGTGTGTGGTCGCTCCGTGCTCTTCCCCTTACATCAACAGCCCGTTTCCTCAAATTGTCGGCACCAACGACGAATGCTCTTTGACGTTGGCGGCTCAATGCCAAAACGCCGTTGAAACGCACGCTGCACCGCGATTACGGATTCAGTCTTGCCGAACTGCAGAACACAAAACGCCCCTTGTGTTGTGACTGAGGCTAGGGGCTGTTTGTGCGCTGGGAGAGGCATCTCGCGGTCATCATTTGAAACTCTGTGCCCCGCCCTCTCTCTATGCCCCGCCCTCTCTACGCCCCACCCTTTCAAGTGGTAAGAGTTTCATTCATGGGCGGTTCGTGGTTACAGAGATATAGCGATTTAAAATCGGGTCCATCTTTTTTAAATTTCTTCTTCTTTAGTGCTGCCTAACGGCGTGTGCGACTTCACGATGATATTGGTCCCGGTCTAGCACGGCGTGTAGAGTTTGTGCTGCTGTTGTTTATTGTAGCCATGTTTTGATGTTACTGAGCCATGTCGTTTTTAGCCGTCCTGGTCGTTTTTTCCCTTCGATTTTTCCTTCCAAGATTTGCTTTAATAGCTGGTACTTGTGGTCGTTTCGGGCAATGTGGCCTAGGTAGTAACACTTCCTGCTAATTATGGTCTTCAGCAGTTGCCTGTCAGTGCCCATATCTTGCAGAGCTTGTGTATTGGTGGTTTTGGCTGTCCATGGGATTTTCAGCATCCTTCGATACAGCCACATCTCGAAAGCTTCGAGCCTTTTTGTTGCTGTTGTTGTCAGTGTCCACGTCTCTACTCCGTACAGCAAAATTGACCAGATGTAGCATTTCAGTGTGCACAGTTTCAGTGATGTACTCAAGTTGTGATCTGCAAGGAGTGTTTTCCATTTAATAAATGCTTGCCTTGCTTGTTCAATTCTGCTCTTGATTTCGACTTCATGGTTCAACTGATAGTCAATGATTACACCAAGGTATTTAAATCGGTGTACTTGTTCCAATTTTTCGCTGCCAAGCTTGATTGTTATTTCGCTTGTAGTTCGGCTGACCTTCATAACCTTTGTTTTCTTTTTATTAATTCGTAAGCCCCATATTTGACTCTCTGTGGCAATCTCGTCCAAGAATTGTTGTAGGTCTTGTTCCGAATCGGCCAACAGTGCAGTGTCGTTGGCATAACTGATGTTGTTAATGTATTGTCCATTGACTTTAATACCAATGTTTTTATTTGCTAGTGTTCGATCAAAAATCTGCTCCGAGTAGATGTTGAAAAGACTGGGTGAAAGTGGGCAGCCTTGTCGTACACCTTTTTGTATTGGTGTTGGGTCTGTCAATTCGTTGTCATATCGGAGTTGGGCTGTTTGCTTCCAATAAAGAGCAATGATGAAGTTGATGTCGTTTTTATCTAGTCCCAGTTGTTTTAATAGAGCTGCTAGTCGGTCGTGGTCTACTGAGTCAAAGGCTTTCTCGTAATCTATGATGCAGACGTACACTTCTTTCTGATGTTCGTAGCATCGCTGTAGTAGTATCTGTAGACAGAAGATTGCTTCTCTTGTGCCTAGTCCTTTGCAGAAGCCAAACTGTGTGTTCTTCAATTCATTTTCGCATGTGGAACGTATGCGCTGTTGGATCACCTTCAGGAAGACTTTCAGCACGTGGCTCATCAAGCTTATCAGTCTGTAGTCCTCGCATTTGCGGCTTGTTGCTTTCTTTGGTATGGCCACAAAGATGGATTGTAGCCAGTCGGATGGAATTTTATTGCCATTGTATATATGATTGTACCAATTAGTCAGTTGTCGTATGTTGTTACTGTCTAATAGTTTGAGCAATTCTACATGGATTGTGACGGGCCCGCACGCT